TTACACAAGTAGGTTTATTAATCTTAAAGTGATGGGACTCCTAAAACACACACACACAAAACAAGCCTGATGTAATGTATTGCTTTAAAACCACGGTGAATTTGAAATGCTAACACATGCTTAATTCTTATTTCAGAATTTATTAAATATAACAACTTGCAATTATAGCTTGTTACAGCCATGCAGAATGTAATGTTTTCATGTTATGTATTACCTAATGATAACAAATTCCTCAGTTGATTCACGCATGCGTATTCACTAATTTCTCATTTTTTAAATCATTTATTTATTTCCAAATTTATAAATGGCATTTTCAATCACATCTACACAATGGAGAGGAAAAGATTGGTCCCTTTTATCCTGGGACCAATCTGCAATCCTACAAAATCTGGGGATCTGCAATCCTACATAAATTTATCACGAAGCAAGTTAAATTTAATTCACCAGGATTTATTTATGAGTAGACGGGCATAGGATTGCAACTTGCTGCAGCCCCTCTTGTCATATCTGGGAGATCTTTCGGTCTCTCCTGCCACACAATCCTCATGGAAAATCTCCACAAGGTGGCAGTGGATAATAACACAAGAGCTGTCTCGAGAGGATTTGAAGTGTGATATTTCAGCTCAGCAGAGGGTTTATTTTCATAGGTACAGATATGCTAACAGGATAGGGCTTCTGTACCTGTCATGCAAGCTACGCCCTCTTATATCTCCTCTTCTAGTCAACTAGAACCATCTCCTGGTCAGCACCTGGAGTGGGGGCAAAGATAAAAGGATGGGGGGGGGTGCTGCTTGTGTGCCGTTGACCCGGCTGCATAGCAGCCTCAGTGACTGAGCTGGCAAAGGCAGTCTCTGGCATGATGTTGGAAAAATTCATAACTGCTGTCCTGGGGAACAAATGTCCACACCAAGGTTGTTGTTCAGGACTTCCTGATCTCCAGCTCCATGGGGTTCTCTCAAGAGGTCATTGTTTAGGTGTGTCCTTGGGTGAGACTCGGGTGGCGCTGTGGTCTAAACCAGTGTTCCCCAACCTTGGGCCTCCAGCTGTTTTTGGACTACAATTCCCATCATCCTTGACCACTGGTCTTGCTAGCGAGGGATGATGGGAGTTGTAGTCCAAAAACAGCTGGAGGCCCAAGGTTGGGGAACACTGGTCTAAACGACTGAGCCTCTTGGGCCTGCCGATCAGAAGGTCAGCGATTTGAATCCCCGCGATGGAGAGAGCTCCTGGTGCTGTCTCTCAGCTCCTGCCAACCTAGCAGTTCGAAAGCACATCAGTGCAAGTAGATAAATAGGTACTGCTGTGGCGGGAAGGTAAATGGCGTTTCCATGCGCTCTGGTTTCCATCACGGTGTCCCATTGTGCCATAAGTGGTTTAGTCATGCCTGCAACATGACCCGGAAAGCAGACAAGGTGCTTATAAGAACATAAGTGCTCAACCCTTGTGATTAAAGTTAGCTGTCGGAAGGGGCATGGTGGGAATAGTGAATGCATCTTTGTGCAAAGGGGTGGTGCTTGCACCCAGCCAGGAAGTGTTAGTTTGGCCACTCCTGAAAAGTCCAGCCTGGACCCAGTGTTATTTAACATCCAAGTTGCAAGGTATTTGAGAGGGTTGAAGCAGTGCAGTTGCATACATTATTGGAGGAATCCGATTATCTTCTAGACCCGTTCCAATCTGCGTTTGGGACTGAATCAGTTATGGTTGCCCACTGTTTTTCAGGAGAGGGAAGGGTGCCTTTCTTAGTGCAGAAAGTATTTGATCTGATGGGTAGAGATCTTTCCTATTCTACTTCAAGAGGGTTCTGGAAGCTTCTCTGTGTGAAAGAAACTAGCAGAAGGTTCATGATGATGATGATTGGGTTATTCCTCCAGAGAAGCTGAGTACTGTTGGCTTAAACTGGCTCTGTTATCTCTGCTTCGAGGTCATGCTGACTATAATAACAAGGCCAGACGGAGCCTGGGTTTCCTTTTTCTTTCTATCTCTCTTCCTTCTGGTGTGCTGTTCTGTATATAGCGTTAAGGTTTAGTCTTATTATAAGTTACTGTCAGTTTGTTCTGTTTGGGAAGTGGGGCTCAGCTTCCCACCTCCTGTATTGGAGGTGATGTCATCAAGGTGTCTAAGGTCCATGAACAATAATAGCTTAAAGGTCCTGGGCCCTAAGGAAGCCAGACTATCCTCCACCAGGGCCAGTGATGACTCCAACCTGGTGGAATGCTCTGTCCCAGGAGACTAGAGCCCTGCAGGACTTGATCTCCTTCCTGTAAGACAGAGCTATTCCACCTGGCCTTCAATTTGAATTAGCCTGATCCTCTACTCCCTTTTCCCTTTCCTCTTCTATGAAGAAACCCTTTCTGGGACCCCACATTTAAATTCTTCCCTGGTCTCCTTGCTGGCCCTAGTAGGACCAACTTGGCCAGTTAGCCCTGGTGATCATTCGATGTCTACTGACTGGGGTCCCTCCCCCCCCATGACCCCTGAATTTTTGGATTTTATTGATATCGATGCTGCATTTTATGTTGTATTTTATGCTGTTTTTAAGTCGCATTTTCATCAGTGTTTTATATTCGCTGTTAGCCGCCCTGAGCCTGTTTTTTTAAACTGGGAATGGCAGGGTATTAATAAATAATAATAATAATAATAATAATAATAATTCTATGAAGGGGGAGAAAGTCATTCACTGAGGCTTGTGTGCCCGGATTACAAAATCAGCTGATGCCACTAACTGCCAGGGTTTTGAGAACCTGTTTCTGCTAACCAGGAATTCACTCCTGCTTCCTTCTCTCTTTCTTTGTTGAAAGTATCTTTTTGCACCTGTCCGCCAGTTCTTAACTGTACAGAGAACATATTTCAAGCACTGCCACTTTGCTTAGCACTTCCCCCTTGACCATTACCATTCAGCTGCATAGAACATAATAGGGCTTACTGTCTAAGTATCGCTGACAGGCGATCACTTCCCAGCATCCACTAATCCCTCAAACCCACCAGCTGCACAGGGCACAACAAAGGTCCTACAGAAAAAAGTTGATTCTACATAAAGAAAAGTACTGCAAACCAGTCCAGAACTGAGCAGGAGAAGGTTCTAAAATCCTGTTCCACATTCTATGTCCCAAGGGGGGGCGGGGGGGCGGTAGCTACCCCCTCTGTGAAACAGGTGAAGATCTAACATCAATTATTATTGTTGTTGTTGTTGTTAATTATTATTATTTATACCTCACCCATCTGGCTGGGTTTCCCCCAGCCACTCTGGGTGGCTTCCAACAAGAGATTAAAAATACAGTGGTACCTTGGGTTACATACGCTTCAGGTTACATAAGCTTCAGGTTACAGACTCCGCTAACCCAGAAATAATACCTCGGGTTAAGAACTTTGCTTCAGGATGAGAACAGAAATTGCGCTCCGGCGGCGCGGTGGCAGCGGGAGGCCCCATTAGCTAAAGTGGTGCTTCAGGTTAAGAACAGTTTCAGGTTAAGAACGGACCTCCGGAACAAATTAAGTATTTAACCCGAGGTAAAAAAGGGTAAAGGT